TTCTTAGTGCTGTGCTTTAACCCGCTGCGCCACCAGGGAGGGCCTTTAAAAATGTTTTTATTGCCTGATGGCATTAGTTGGCCTGAAATTTTTGGTTGGCCAAACACCTATGCCAAAACTAGAAAATTCCCAGCACACAGCAGCCCCTGTCGGAGGCTGCCATCTCTCCCACAGGGCACAGTCAAATCTCCCGCTGGGTCTTCTGGGGACAGACCCTGGCCACAGGTCACCTCTGTCCTTGGCAACTGAGAAGCCTCAGGTGGAAACTTCCAGGTTGGACTACTGGGTGCTGTAGGAGATCTGTCCTGCCACCTTTATCCTGCTCCTTGCCTGTCGTGGGCCCTCCAAGTTTGAGGAAGGCCAGACTACATCTTGTTCTGAAACAAAAGTTGTTCCTGCTTGGACATTCCTTCTGCAGGATTGGGCTAAGCCGGGGCTCTGTGGTCACAAGGAGATCAGTGCACAGAGGTGAGAGTCAGGAGCCAAGTTTGGGGGACCGGAGAGGGGAGGAGAGCTGCAGAAAGGTACCCCCTTTCCAACCCTGCCTGTGCAGACTTCTCTTTGGAATGCAGCAGGAGAAAGACAGGCTGGATTTTCCAGTGCCATCTTTTCAAATGTACACCGTTAGTCACACACCCAAGAGGGGAAAGGGCTTATGTCTGAGAAACAAAAGCAAACCACCAGCATCCACCGGTATCTTGGCCAGCCCAGGGGCTGGGTGAACTCGATGGGGAAAAGACCAGGAGCGACTGGAAATGGGGGAGGGGGCAGCAGGGCAAGACAGCAGAGTGGCCAGCAGTTGCTTTTCATCTTAGCTGGTTAGAATCACAGTGAGCTTCTTAAAATAACCCATGCCCAGGCCCGTGAGAAATTGGAATCTCTGGAGAACTGGCCTGTGCAGGTGTTTTTCTAAAGCAACCCGGGTGATTACAATGTGCCTCAAGGATTAGGAACCTCTGCTCAGAGCCAAGTCTACGGGGGATCTGCTGTTTAACGTGAAGCACAGGGATGGGGAGGGCCTTGGTTAAGGTCATATAATGGCCTGAGAGGACAGGAGTGGCTGTCAGTTTGTCTCTCCAGTCCACCCTTCCTGCTCAGCGTTCTGCCCTGGACCACCCTGAAGCCTCCAGTTGCCCTCTCCACAAGGCCCTTCATGGGACCTCCAGTCTGCCAGTGTAGAGCCCTTCCAGGGAGTGATTCTTCTAGAATGAAGCATTCGGAGTTCTTTTCTGAACAAGCACATAAAAGAATCTCTCTAGGGAATTAATAAGTGCCCAAGCCTCAAAGGCCTGACCCTCACCTGCAGTGTTATGCAAATGAACCTGAACACCCACAGTGCTGTACTTGGAAGCTGGGAGCAAATGGATGCAAATTTATGCAATCATTATGCAAACAAGGGCAGCCCCGATTAATAGCCTCGATCCTTCAACCAGACAGCAGCTGTCTCTTTAGGTACAGGCATGGCTGACAGGAAGGGTTCAGCAGTCTCCTGTCGGAGCATTATGAGGAAGGGTCAACAAGGAGGGATTCACTGACAGCTGGCTTGCTGAGGGTCTTCTCTCAGAAATCTGGGGAGGGGTGGGATCGCCACACCCAGACCCCAAATTCAATGCCAGGCACTGAGCTCTGGGGCAGAGTGGTAGGAGACAGTGGAGTTAAGGGGGGAGAGAACAGGGAAAGTGATCAGCTGGAAATAGTTGAGAAGGTGGTAGAAGCAGGGGTGAGGGTGTTGATGACAGAGGTGAAAATAGGCTTAGAGGAGAGGGTAGCCATAGCCATAATGGTGACAGTAATAGCAGAGGCTTGGCAGGCTGTGATGTGCGAATCAAGTGAAGATGATAGAGGGAAAGTTAGTGATAGTCCTGGTGGAGAGGATGACCCCCGAGAAGTGACGGTGGTTGAAATCAATGAGAAAGTGATGGTGGTGATGAGGCGGGCTATGACAGTGATAATGGAGGTGGTGATGGAGTGAAGGAGAAGATGATGTGGGGCCAGCTGGTGAAGATGGGTTCTCAAAACTCCTAAGTTCCATTTGGGAGGGAGTTAGAAAGACTGAGCACGAAGGTGTGGGGGTGGGGAGGGAAGAAACGTGTAGAGACACAGTTCTGGTATGATGGGGAGAGCAGGGATGAGCCTGCACCCACAGACTTGAAGAAAGCTCAGGCACAGCTTCTGACTCCTCTCTCCCTGCGAAAGACTCAACTACACACATGCCCCCTTCCACAGAGGTATGGAACCGGGCCAAGGTAGCCCGAGAAATCAAAGCCCCTCTCCTGCTCCAGTGCCCCATAGAGGCTGTGTAAGAACCAAGTGAATGGGGAGTCTGTTCTTTCCATCTGGTGCAGCAGGAATCTTATCCACAGAGACCCTTGTGGCTAACCACAGGCGGCTCTGTGGTGGAATGACAAAGCTGCTTCAGGGCCTGGGGAGAGCCAAGGGGAAGGGTGTGCTGATGTTTCTGGTTCTCAGAGGGTCTGAGGCCCACCCCACTGCAGATTTGCTGGGAACTGGCCATTAGCTCGAGAGGGTGGGATCATGGAGTCCCCTTGGCAACCCCTCTGGAAGCCCAGAGCCACACCAGAGGGAACACCAAGCCCTCCTCAACGACCCCTCTCGGTTCGGGATACCCCCCGGCTGCGGGCACCACACACAATGGCCCTGTGTGATTCACTGCGAGTGGCAATGAGTGGCAATAATCCTCTCGCTGCTACAGATGACAGCCCCGCTTTACCCAAGGTGGCCTGAGAAGAGTGGGACCTGGCTCAGACGTCTCTGGGGTGGGAATGAGGGCTACCTAAGAGGGTCTGTTTATGGGCCTCACCCCAGCACCCCACAGGTGTGCATTTGCACACTCGGGATGCTGCTGTCCCCACCAGCAGAGGCTGTTTCTGGGACACAGGAGGTAGCAGCACTAGCTATACCCCATCCCCGCACGGGGCCACGGGG